CGTTCCGTAACTGCCTATCTGGTTCTTAATAAGTCAGAAGTTATAATTCGTTATATTTCTGCGGTGCCACTAAACGAAAACGTCCGGCATAGTCCACATATTATTATATCGCCTTATAGTGAGATTGTTATTGCATTTTCTATTCACAATATAATACAAATACGACAAACAGACTTGACTTGACGTTTTCAGGAAAAAGGAGATAAGAGTTTTCGGATCCGGTTTGGGTTTTAAAAAATGAATAACTTCCGATTCGTTTTACGTTCGACTTTTTAGAACCTCGTTGTCCATTCAGATTCGATTGTACGCATTGTGCCAAATTGGTTTTCTCCGTTTTTTTTTATCATCGCACACCTTTGTTCGTTGTATATATTAGCTTATTATAAAACTTTCATCTACAAGTTCCTGTTTTTGTTTACCATATGTTTTCTGTTTTCTATCCTGCGTCCCTGTTATGCCCCATCCACATAACTCCTTTTACCGCCGATCCCGTATTACAGAATTCTAGGGATCTTGCCATCCGCGGTGATCCATATAACAGATTGTTATTCACTAGTTAATGTTGCTTGGTTCATAGAACCTACATTTTGGACCTGAACACAATTGGTGCAAGGTTTGGTTAGGTAAACAGAGTCAATGGGATGTAAGTGAAATAGAACGTAAAACTCGGGACTCTTAATGTCCGGAAGTATGAAACAGGGACGGATGACATAGTAAAATCACACAAACACACCTGCGCAATCGATCGCACTTTCCCAAGACTTGTTTGGCAACCTTGAAATAAACTAGCAATATCAAAGAGCTAGGCCCATGTTGGTCTGATGGAATGTTTCTGCTGACCCAGCAATCGCTGGTACAGAATTATCTTACGCGTAGCGTTTAAGATTTGCATTCGATACCACCATCACAGAAAGTCACAGGTAAGGCTGCACGGTACACAAATATTTCACCATTTATACGACACACTTTTCATGTCTCAACTTGCCTTCTGTAATAAGGAGCATCCGCTTTCATTGCCATGGGCCTCAGTTGAACCGATTCTTGCTTGCTAGTCTGCGCACGCACTCTTACACGTGGTTATTTTCCCACCTTTGTCGATTTTGGACGTGAAAAATACTCAGTGATTCGCCAAGAATTCATTGAAACTGTGTGTTTTCCTGTTTCACCATCATTATCAACCCTCGCCTAACGCGAATTTTAAGGCTACTAATAAATTTCCACACAATGTGGCAAACACGTCGCCCTGATTCAAATTCGCACACGCTGGCAGCCTTTTGAGGTTACGTGCGGCAGGCACATGCATTAAAGTGTCACGGCCTTCCATCCATTGGGCTGATTCCTTTTGGACGTGCAGTACTTGGCTCGCTCTGCATACGAAACTATCAACTTCTAGAACCGGATAATGTGCCGAATGGTGTTTACTGCTGCACTAGAATAAAAGCCTTTTTGGACTGCATAAACATATTTAGTATGCCATTTTGTTCGTTAAAATATGGTATCGAGTTTAAAGGCAAATCTGACAGTAAGTGTTTTATAGCTTAAAGGACAAATAATACAGATGTAAACTTATTTTTAAATAGATTATATTTAATTTGACCGCGGTAATAAGTCACGAAACACTTAGAAAACAATATTCAAGATAGCGGCATTTGGAATTTGATAAGCGGGCTGCAAGCCAAAAGAAACGCTAAGCAGAGGAGGGAAAGCTTGATGAAGCGCATACAGTGGTCGGTTTGTTGAATGTACCCACTGACGCAGATGCAACCCATCACAATAACCGATCACCACAAAATGTTCGGAGTGATAAATTACAGTGGA